GCTTCGGGTCAGTCCCAACGCTAAACCTCCAAACACGCCGCAAGAAGTCCAGCAGGCGCAAGCGGACTTCGCCCTGGGGGAGGATACCTGAGTTTGAGGGTTTAGGGTTTAGGGTTTAGGGTTTCGGGTTTAGGGTTCAGGGTTTAGGGTTTAGGGTTCAGGGTTTAGGGTTTAGGGTTTAGGGTTTAGGGTTTAGGGTTTAGGGTTTAGGGCTTAGGGTTTAGGGTTTAGGGTTTAGGGTTTAGGGTTTAGGAGTGACCTTTGGGGATTACTTACGGGCGACTTAAGGAAATAGGGACTATGTAGGTTATAAGGTATAGATAGAGGTTACATAGGACTACAGGAAAGACCCTTATAAGTGACCCTTTGGGGGTTACTTACGTTTTCTTTCTGGGCTACTTAGGTATATAGGGACTATTTCAGCTTGGACACCCTAACCCCATACCCCTGCACTCTTCAACCCCTCAAGCCCGAACTCTTGAACCCTAAGCCCTACCCTAAACCCTACACTCTTGAAAACCCCAAGCCCTTTAAACCCGAAACCCGAAACTCTAAACGCAAACTTTCCCAATCCCGAACCTGAACCCTAAACCCTGAACCCTAAATAAACCCTAAACCTAAATTCCCGATCTGACGAGAGGCCTGTTGCCGGTTCCAGCCGACTGGGCTCGTGCTCGAAGGCCTCGTCCCAAAGCATCCGGCCTGCTGGTGCCACGTTTTGGGGGGTTGGGGGGGGGGGGATTCCTGCTGTAGGGCTGAGGGCTGAGGACTCAGGTTGTTTAGGGGGTTTGAGGCTCTGGGGATCAGGGCCCCTAAAACTGTTTTCGGTAAATTCTAGCCCCCCTAAACCCCAAACCTAAACCCGAAAACCCCAAACCCAAAACCCCAAACCCTAAATCCTAAACCCCTAAACCACCAAACCCTAAACCCCAAACCCGAAACCCGAAACCCTAAACCCTAAACCCTAAACCCAAACCCCTAAACCCCTAAATCCCTAGGCCCGGCCTTCCTCCACTTGCCCCAGACGCGCACCCCCAAGCTGCCGATGCCACACTCCTCTTCCGGAGGCTTTAGCTTGTTGGGGTTTACGGTTTAGGGTTTAGGGTTTAGGGTTTAGGGTTTAGGGTTTGGGTTTTAGGCTTTAGGGTTTAGGGTTTAAGGCATTCGCAAGTTTAGGGGCTTGAGAGCCCTAAGTTTAGGATAAGCCCCGGCCCAAGCGAACTGAGGTTTAGGATCTACGGCTTCGGATTTAGGGTTTAGGGGTTCAGAGGGTTTGGAGTTTAGGGTTCAGGGTTTCGGGTGGGTCCTTGCAGGTCGTCGCGTATCCACTTCGCCCCATCGCTCCAGTGTAGCCGGACCTGGCCCGAACACACACCGCACATCGAGCTCAAGCCTAAACCCAGAACCCTAATCCCCAAACCCTAAGGCCCTAAACCCTAAGCCCTGAACCCTAAACCCCAAACCCGAAGCCCTAAACACTAAACTCTAAACCCCAAACCCTAAACCCTGAACTCCAAGACCAGCCAACACTTTGAGCCGCTGGGCTTTCTTGTGGGACCGGGCGGTTTAGAAAGGAGCGAGTCCTCCTCTCCCTAAACCCTAAACCCTAAACCCTAAACCCTAAACCCTAAACCCTAAACCGTAAACCCTAAACCCTAAACCCTAAACCCTAAGCTTAAACCCTAAACCCTAAACCCTCGACCCTCAACCCTAAACCCTAAACCCTAAACCCTGAACTCCAAGACCCCAAAGGAAGCTTCAAGGGTGTGGGAGCCATGAGGCGGTCTTGCAGCTTTGGGCATAGGCTTGCAACCCTAAACCCTAAACCCTAAACCCTAAACCCTAAACCCTAAACCCTAAACCCTAAACCCTAAACCCCAGATGCAGGGTTTAGGTTTGAACCTCAGAGCTGGTCGCGCTTAGTAGCGCTTCCCATAAACCCCCAACGGAGCCCAAAACCCGGCGAACCCTGAACACCCTAAACCCTAAACCCTAAACCCTAAACCCTAAACCCTGAACCCTGAACCCTAAACCCTAAACCAACCCGTGAAACCCAAAATCTTCACGAGTTTAGGCCCAGCCACTGGCTCCTCCTTCATGGTGGCCGAGAATCTTTCTCCTGCCAGCACGATGTACCTCGGTGTGCAGGTCGCGCTTTGGGAAAAGGTGGATTTAGGGTTTAGGGGTTTTTGGCTTGGGGGTTAGGGGGTTCGGGTTTAGGGTTTAGTGTCTAGGGATTTTGCGTTTGGGGGTTGCGGGGGTTACTGTAGGGTTTGGGGTTTAGGGTTTAGGGTCTGGGGCTTCTGGGGTTTGAGGGGTTTAGGCAGTTTTGGGTGGTTTCGTGTGGGCCCGAAACACCTGAACTCAACCTCGAACCTAGTTTGGGAAATTTTCATGATCAAACAACTTGGCTTGGGGTCCCGTGAATCGGGGTGCCCAAAAGCATTGAGGGGTTTAGGGTTTAGGGTTTAGGATTTAGGGTTCAGGGTTTAGGGTTTAGGGTTCAGGGTTCAGGGTTCAGGGTTCAGGGTTCAGGGTTCAGGGTTCAGGGTTTAGGGTTTAGGGTTTAGGGTTTAGGGTTTAGGGTTTAGGGTTTAGTCCGGGACGCAGCTCGCCGTGCTCTTGCTCAAGCACGGTGGTCTGATCGTCGTCCCAGTGCCAGACAATCACGCCCGCTCGGATGAAACCTTTGTGTCCAGGACTCCGAGGGGAAAACTAGGGTTTAGGGTTTAGGGTTTAGGGTTTAGGGTTTAGGGTTTAGGGTTTAGGGTTTAGGGTTTAGGGTTTAGGGTTTAGGGTTTAAGCTTTCAGGGTGTGTTCATGGCGTCGGGCCCCTTTTTATAGGGCCGAGGGCGAAGCTCTCGTGAGCCCGAACCCGATGGACCCAAGGTACCTGGAGTAAGCAAACTTTCCTGTAGGGCCAAAAGGGCGAAGCTCATGAGCCCTAGCCCTAAACCCTAAACCCTAAACCCTAAACCCTAAACCCTAAACCCCAAATCCTAAACCCTAAACCCTAAACCCTAAACCCTATAGGACCCCAAAATACCTGAAGCAATGTGAAGGGCGGGGCGCAAGTGGGCGTGGCATCCAGGTCCAGCCAGGTCCCATCCAGCTTCGACAGGTCCACGCACCCGGAGCTCAGGAAGCGAGGCCGGAAGGCGCCGCAGCTGTCCCAGTAGGGAACCTTGCGAGGGCGGCCTTGAGGTTTAGGGTTTAGGGTTTAGGGTTTAGGGTTTAGGGTTTAGGGTTTAGGGTTTAGGGTGTAGGGTGTAGGGTTTAGGGTTTAGGGCTAAGAGGCGTTTGAGTTTAGAGGCCTAAGCACTGTAATCCCCGAAGGATTCAACCCCGAACACTAGACTGAACCCCTGAACCCTGAGCACTCGAAACCCTAAACCCTAAGCACCCGAAAGACTAGACCCCAAGCACCCTAAAGCTTAAACACCCTGAACCCTACACACCCCAAACCCGAAGCCTAAGCACCCTAAGCACCCTAATCACCTAGCCCCGAAATTCTAAAACCCGGAGTCCCTAAACCCTCAACCCTGCATCCCTAAACCCTAAACCCTGAATCCCTAAACCCTCAACCCTAAACCCGAAACCCTCACAGAGGTCAGGCACCTGCATCTCCTGGGTGTCGTCCAGGCGCCGTGACTCTATGGAAGTGCATGGTGCCTGGAGGGTTTAGGGTTTAGGGTTTTGGGTTTTGGGCTCAGGGTTTTAGGGATTTGGGTTCGGAGTTTGGGGTTTTAGGGTTTCGGGTGTAGGGTTTAGGGTTCAGGGTTTAGGGTTTAGGGTTTAGGGTTTAGGGTTTAGGGTTTTGGCTTCTAATGTTTTCGGGTGTTGAGGGTTACGCCTCGTCTTCCACTGTGCAGCCGCAGTTTGCTCCCATGGCTCCAAGGCTACATCAGCGCTTCTTTGTCGGAGAGGGCCCCAGAGTCAAAACCGAAAGCTTCGGACTTCCTGGAACCAGGGTTTGGGGTTTAGGGGTTTCGGGGTTTAGGGCTTCGGGTTTGGGGTTTAGGGTTTAGGGGCAAGGGTTTCAGGTTTAGGGTTTCGGGTCTAGGGAACTTGCCTTTGGCCCTCTTCTGGCTAAGGGGCGAAAGCCTCCCAGAGACGGAACACCCAGCCACAGTCACGCCGCTCCCACGTGAGCTTTGCACGGGAGCTTTGGTCCATAGAGGGCGGATCCGAGTTCGCGATTTCGGGCTTAGGGTTGAGTGTTCAGGGTTTTGGCCTTAAGGGTTCAGGGTTTAGGGTTGTAAGTTGGGATGTTCCCCCTTATACTAACAGCCCTTCATAGGGATTACAGTAAGGGGTACGAGAATCCCCATTAAGGACTGCTGGTATGAGGGGTGAACATCCCAAGTTACAAGGCTGCGGAGTGCAGGGGGTTCTCAAGGCCCAAGATGACAGGGTTTAGGGTTTAGGGTTTAGGGTTTAGGGTTTAGGGTTTAGGGCTTAGGGCTTAGGGTTTAGGGTTTAGGGTTTAGGGTTTAGGGTTTAGGGTTTAGGGTTTAGGGTTTAGGGTTTAGGGTTTAGGGTTTAGGGGCTCCGAAGCCACATCTTTGCTTCAAGCATGGGGGGCTCCTTCCCAAACGGACTTCGCAATCTTCTCCCAGAAGCACACCCTAAACCCTAACCCTAAACCCAAACCCTAAACCCCAAACCCTAAAGCCTAAACCCGAAAACAACAACAGAACAAAATCGGGCAAAAGCAATAAGAACCACGTAGAACATGAAGAGGCCTAAACCCTAAACCCTAAGCCCTAAGCCCTAAACCCTAAGCCCCGGGCCTGGGCCTTCAGACTGGCGCCATCAGACCTTTGGCAACCGGAGGCTTTTTGGGGCGGGGGGTTGGCTGAGGGCTTTGGGCCTGCAATTTTGCGGTTGGTGCTAGGGTTTAGGGTTTAGGGTTTAGGGTTTAGGGTTTAGGGTTTAGGGCTTCGGGTCTCGGATTTACCTGAAACCCTGAAGCCCCAAAGCCTCATTGTGGGTTTCGGGAGGAGTTTAGGAGTTTAGGGTGGAAGACACAGGCCCTGAATCCTCTCAGGCTTGTTGGCCTTGAGGGGTCCTCAACCCGAGGTTTAGGGTTTAGGGTTAATGGTTTAGGGTTTAGGGTTTCGGGTTTAGGGTTTAGGGTTTAGGGTTTCGGGTTTAGGGTTTAGGGTTCCGGGTTTCGGGTTTAGGGTTTAGGGTTTGGGGTTTAGGGCTTAGGGTGTAGGGTTGAGGGTTCAGACCCAAGGTTCCCCCCGCAAGCCCCACAGCCCCAAACCCAGAACCCAAGCCAAACACGCCCAAAAGCCCCCCCAACCCAAACCCCAAACGAGAAAAATAACTCGAAACCCGACATCCCAGAACTAACCCCAAGCCCCAAACACTAACCCCTAAACCGCCCGCACAAAGAACCCTCAAACCCCAACCCTAGACTCCACACCCGCAAGCCTAAACTCCACACCCCTAAACGCTTTAACCCTACACCCCTAAACCCTAAACCCTGAAGCCCTATACCCTAAACTCGAAACCCCAAGCCCTAAACCCTAAACCCTAAACCCCCAAACCCCAAGCCCTAAACCCGAAACCCCTAAACCCCAAACCCCAAACCCTAAACCCTAAACCCTAAACCTCTCGGAGGGGAGACTCCGAGGCAGCGACCCGGTTGTTCCTGTGGCGCGGGTGTGGCAGGGGTCAGGGTCTAGGATTTAGCGTTTAGGGTTTAGGGTTCAGGGTTTAGGGGTTAGGAATTAGGGTTTTGGGTTTTGGGTTTCGGGTTTAGGTGGTTTCGCAGTTTAGGGAGTTTGGAGGGGTTGGGGGTTTAGGTTATAGGTGTTTAGTGTTTAAGGTTTGGGGTTTGGGGTCTAGGGATTTAGGGTTTGGGATTTCGGGTTTAGGGATTTAAGGTGGAGGGCTTGAGGGTTTAGGTTTAGGGATATAGGCACCCAAGCTGATGTTCGGGTTCTGCATTCGGGGTCTCAACTTGGGCTTCAGGTTTGGGGCGCAAAGGGAGTAAAGTTTCAGAAGTTTAGGGTTTAGAGTTTAGGGTTTAGGGTTTAGGCTTTAGGGTTTAATCCTGATGAGCTCTCGCCTTCTCTCTCTATTCCTCTTCTCTTTCTATCCTTTCTCTCTTTCTCTCTTGCTCTCTTTCTCTCTTGCTCTTTTGCTCTCTTCTCTCCTTCTCTCTCTCTCTCTCTCTCTCTGTCTCTCTCTCTCTCTCTCTGTCTCTCTCCCTTCCTCTGTGTTTCTCTCACCCTCTCTCTCTCTCTCTCTCTCTCCCCCTCTCCCGTGAGGTTCACGGCTTAGAGTTTCGCGGTAGCCCTAAACCCTAAACCCTAAACCCTAAACACCCAAAAGAGACCCGAGCGGAGCGGGGCCTCGCTGTGACTGGGCGTAGATGATGGGGAGGCCTGGGGAACGGCGACTGAGAGTTTAGGGTTTAGGGCTTCGAGCGCAGCGGTTTCGGGTTTAGGGTTTAGGGCTAGGGTTTAGGGTTTAGGGTTTAGGGTTTAGGGTTTAGGGTTTAGGGTTTAGGGTTTAGGGTTTAGGGTTTGGGTTTTAGGTTTAGGGTTTAGGGTTTAGGGTTTAGGGTTTAGGGTTTAGGGTTTAGGGTTTAGGGTTTAGGGTTTAGGGTTTAGGGTTTAGGGTTTAGGGGCCCCCAAACACCTAAGTCCGATAATGTAGGGGCATTTAGAACAGGGTGTTGGGGAATGCAAATATGATTGCACCGCTACCATAAGGGAATACTATTCGTAATTCTGCCGAAACCCTACACCCTAAACCCCAAGCCCTCAACCCTAAACCCGAAACCCTAAACCCTCAGCCCTATACAAGCGATAACCCCAAAATTCTAGGCTCCATACAAACCCTAAACCCTGAGCCCTTTAAACCCTAAACCCTATACAGACCCCTAAACCCTAAACTAAACCCTAAACCCCTAAACCCTAAACCCTAAACCCTAAACCCTAAACCCTAACCCTAAACCCTAAACCCTGAACCCTTTCCAAACGGAAGCTCGCAACCCGTCAGAGCCCTCGCCCACAGAGCCGGCCGGGTCTCTGGCCGAGGCTGTCAATGCAGTCCTGGAGGGTTTAGGGTTTAAGCTTTAGGGTTTAGGGTGTAGGGTGTAGGGTGTAGGGTTTAGGGTTTAGGGTTTAGGGTTTCGGGTTTAGGGTTTAGGGTTTAGGGTCTAGAGGCATGGGGTTTAGGGTTCAGGGTTAAAGGGTTCGGGCTTTCGGGTTTCTTCGGAGTATTCTAGGGTCTTTGAGTGTTGGGTTGGGTTGAGGGGTTCGAGTGTGGGGCTTGTAGTCTGCCGTAAGCACAAGGTCCAGGATCCAAAAACCTTCGACCCCCTAAACCCTAAACCCTACCCGGAATCTTCATGATCTCCGAAGCGCTGCGCACTCATGCGAGGCTCCAGCTCCCATGCGTGTCTCCTTAGAGCCTGCACTCAGAAAGCTGGTCTCACAACTTAGGGTTTAGGGTTTAGGGTTTAGGGTTTAGGGTTTAGGGTTTAGGGTTTAGGGTTTAGGGTTTAGGGTTTAGGGTTTAGGGTTTAGGGTTTAGGGTTTAGGGTTTAGGGTCTCACAACTCAACCCTCTCGCCCTCATCATCGCCAGCTGCACCTGGGGCAGCCAGCCATGCAGCCAGCTTCTGGCGAGGAAATTTGGCAGCAATTTCCAGGGTCTCGTCATCAAGCGCCACCCCTTGCCCCACCAGCCACTTGACGATCTCAAGGTCGCCATTCTTGACAGCTTTGTGTAAGGGAGAGACCGGACAACTCTTGGCATTGATGTCTGCCCGTTTGCCTACAAGCAGCTTCATCAGCTCCAGCTGATGACGTGTTGCAGCCTTGCACAAGGGCGTGTCACCGTGCGTATCCTGCGTATCAATGCCTGCGCCCTGAGCAGCTAGCCATTCGGCCACCGGCAAGTTCTCTTTCTCGACAGCAAGGAACAAAGGCGTAAGACCAACGTCGGACACGCTGTCGGGGGACACTCCTTGCCCCACCAGCCACTTGACGGCCTCCAAGCTACCGTGCCTGGCAGCTGCGTGTAAGGGAGGGAAAGGACAACTCTTGGCAGTGATGTCTGCCCGTTTGCCCACAAGCAGCTTCATCAGCTCCAACTGACCGCGATCCGCAGCTTTGCACAAGGGCGTGCAACCTTGCCTATCCTGAGGATCAATGGCGGCGCCAAGAGCAGCTAGCCATTGGACCATTTGCAAGTGACCAGCACCAGCGGCTGCACACAAGGGAGTGCTTCCGAGATCATCCTTGGTATCGAGGGCCACCCTCTGCTTCACGAGCACTTCGGCCACCCCCAAGTGACCTCCCCCAGCGGCTTCGCACAACGGCCTGCCGGAGTTCGACATCGTGTCGAGGGCCGCACCTTGCCTCACCATCCAACTCACCAACTCCAAGTGACCCTGCCTGGCAGCAAGGTGCATGGGCGTCCGATGTTCACGATCCTTGGTATCGAGGGCCGCCCCTTTGCTCAACAGCCACTCGGACACCTCCAGGTGCCCGTGGAAGACAGCATAGGACAAGGGCGTCCGGCCAAAGTCGAGATCCTTTACATCAAGGGCTGCCCGGTGCCCCAGCAACCACTCGGCCACCTCCAACTCACCAAGTGTGGCGGCAAAGTGCAAAGCCTCCGGTGCCTGGTCTTTGCGATTCTTGACCCCGAGGCCCGCCCCTTGCCCCACCAGCCATTGCACCAGCTCCCAGTACATCTGGCCACCTCGACCATGAAAGGCAGCAGCTCTGTGCAGTGGAGTGTTGCCATCAGCATCCTGGATGTTGATGTCCACCCCTTGGCTCACGAGCCACTTCACCACCTCCAGCTGCCCAGAAGAGGCAGCCTCGTGTATGGGCCTCTGCTTGCTCTGCCCACCAGCCTCGCCATTCAGGGCCGCACCCTGGCCAGCGAGCCAGCGGACCACCTCCAGATCGCCGCGCCGTGCGGCCGCGTGCACCGCCGTGGGGTCAGCATCCGCGGCGCGCAGCTCCACGAGTGACTGCACCTCTGCGAGATGTCCCAATTCCGCTGCGCGGTAAAGCGGGGGTGGTGGGGGCTGACTTTGAAGAGGCCAGGGCAGCGCCGTGGCGATGAGGCACACGAGGAGCTCCGGCATGCCCATCAGCGAGGAAAATCTGCTCTTCATGTCGGTGGGGGGGAGGGGGTGTAGGGTTTAGGGCTTTCTTAGCATCGGTGATCGTTACCAGTGCCGGGGGGGATTACCCTCATGGCCTAATGTTGAACTTGATCCAGCCAGTTGAGGGCGCGTTGACTCCAGCAAACCCGACAAGTTTCTTCAGAGAGGAACTGTTCCGGGCAGACGACAAAGACTACTAAGCATGCTTTCCTCAAGAACGCAAGAACTAGTTTGCCAGCAACCTGCAATGAAATAGAACGCATGAAACAACTGCCTCAACTGAACCATCTCCATGATAATGAGTACTCCGATTTCAGCTCATCCCCCTGATAATCTATTCCCAATTCAGCTGATGGGGTTTAGTGTGCCATTATGTGATGAGGTAAATTGTAACTGTTGGGGGAGGGTTTATCCTGGGTAGCCGTCCAATTCATACTTCTGCCCCATTTATTGAATCCACAAACCTGAGGAATGGTTGAGGTCTGTGGGATTAGGGCTTTAGTTTTGCGGCCGTTGCGGCCCCATCCCCAAAGCCCGCGCACTGCCCTACAACCCTACATCCCTAAACCCCGAACCCGTAGGTCCTACGTCCCTAAACCCCAAACCCTAAACCCTGAACCCTTACCCTAAACCCCAATCCCCAAACCCTAAACCCTTCAACCAGCAGTCCTGTAGCTTGGGACAGAAATTCCGACAGGAGCGAACCTGGCCGGGATGACAGGGACGGGGCAGGAGGGGGGAGGCGGAGGGGGGAGGTGGCGGGGGGAGGCGGTGGGGGGAGGGGGGTGGGGGTGGGGGAGGGGGGGGAGGGGCAGTTTTTCTTGGAGGTTCATGGTAACCCACTTATGAGCCC